TTTCTTCTTAGTGCGGTGATTTAACTCTATAAACTAAACTATTTCTGGAGGACTTGGCTGCGCAGGATCGATGCATTTTCCTGGTTAACCACTGCACCCACACAGTGTAAATTCCTGCTTGAATTCACTTCTTGCATTTGCAGGAGCAGCAGCACCTCAGACAAGAACTCCCTGCACTGAGGTTCACACTTGCTGTGACCCAGTTTGGTCCAACAGCCCCGCACCTCCGGGGGCCAGGGCGTGATGAGGTGTTCAGGAATGCTGTGCCACACACCTGAGGACCCTGCACAGTACATCAATAGCTTGACAGTGATTTTTGGTGATACAAACTGTGTTTCCAGTGTCACCTGGGTCAGCCACCCGTCCACGATGCTCCAAGATCCAGACGATTTATGTGAAGATCAGCCAATGGGAATGTAAACCCGCCTACAAAGGTCTGTTACTCCAGGAGGTTTGGAAACTCTGGGCTGCTGATTAAAAGGAAGAAGGAAGTACCTCCTGGCAGACCACGTCCCTGGCAGAACTAGAGACACGATGTACCCAAGAGGACTCTTGATTAGGAGCTGCTCAGTGGATGCTCAGACAACAGAAAGCACCAGTTAAATCCTACCTTAAGCAGCTGCAGAACAGCAGTCAATCAATGCCATTTGAAAAAAAAAAAATCTATTTGTTCTTGTCTTTAGGAAGGCAAGAGTGAGGAGGAAATGGATTTGAAGTAAGCTTAGAGAAGCCCACAATAATACTAATTGAAGATTTTGAAGTGCTTTCCCAACAGCAAGCAAAACACACAGATCTCTGACAGGAGAAGCGAAGCAGGAAAATGCAAAGCAGCTTGTCCAAGCTTATGCAACAGATGAGAAGCACAAACAGCACACAGATCTCCAGGCTCCATCTCTGTGTCCTACCATCCTTTCATTTTAAAAAACTTAAATCCTATTTTGCACTCTAAAAAGATTTTCCACGTAGCTTTAAGTGTTAATTCTGAGCTCCACAGATTTTTTTGTTCTTGATGTGGTACCTCACCCATTATCTCCTCTTCTGGACACATACAATATAAAAGGATTTAGTATTTCAGAACCAAGAAAGTAGGGAAAAAAAAAAAGTCCTAAATTTTTATCTAAAGGCAAATTCTTTTTCCTATAGGCACACTGAATACAGGTTTGAACTAGCACTGATTTTTTATCTTACGACGAGAGAAAAGACTGCTTGGAAACCGTATGAAAATTAAAAGTGCTAAGATGCTGCTAAATATATATATTTATGATGTTTCCATTTGCTGAATTAACATAATGTACAATGTATTTTATGTATTATCTGTTCAGCTCTAGATACACTTCACTGCAGGCAGAGATGAAACAATTATCCCAAACACTGACAGACCATTTTTCAGCCCCATGAAATGCAGTCAGTAACACAGACCACTTCAGCACACACCTCCTACTTGTGTGGCACAAGGATGGCTCCTACAAAAGACACACCAAAATTTCTCAGTGTTAATGGTGGTGCCAGAGTTTTCTATGTCAAGCCACAGAGGCAACTCACAAAATGGAAATCTAAAAACTAATCTTGGCACGCTCCTCACTTTCTGCAAAGCACACATCAAACTTACAGGTACTTTCACATCTGACATAAATTAAAAGCCCTCTTTTAAAACCAAGTTGTGTTTTTTATGTTTCTAAGTCATCCAGAAGACAGCACTGTCAAATGGAGAGTTTCCTTTTGAATATCCACTGCCTGTGGGAATGGCTACTCCCCACACTTCCAACAACACTGACCTCTTTGGGGTTTGTGTCCTTTTATGCCATCCATGCCTGTGGACCTTCTCAGAAGGTCAAAGGGATACCTGAAGAGGAAAATTTACCCTTGCTGCCTGTCCTTTTCTCTTCAAACTCTCTGTGTCATTCAGAGTGAAGGGCAATATGCTCCAAAGTCACCTATTTGCTCACAGATGGGCAAGGAGTGGGCTGTCTCTTGAGGTTACATACTGCTAAAGAGTCAAAATACTAGTATTGTGTCTGAGAGTTGAAGCAGCCATGGTACCCTCATTTCACAGATACATGGGACAAACACAACTGACAGAGCTACTCTGTGGAAGGAACATGAGTTGGCAGAGCTCTTACTCAGCCAGTAGAAAGCTTCTAATGATCTGGTCCCTTCTTAAGATCACCCTCCATCTTCACACAACCAACCATTTAAACAGGACTGTGACAGGAAATATTTCTACCAACCCTAAACATGTCTGTGTGCCTGGTATTACCTCTTTTTTCTGTAAGACATGAACTGGGATGGATACACTGACATGACACAACATACTCTTGCCAAGATCCTGCAGGGCAGCTGGAATCTTGGAGCCCACCTTTTGAGCAGAGACTACTATCATGACTACAACAAAAGCTATTTCAGATCATTTATTTAAAGTATACCACTGAAAAACCTAGGTTTTATGCCTTGGAGTAGAAGCATCTGATTAAAATGCACAGTTTAAACGGAAATCTCTCTGTTTGGCAGGCGAGGCCTGTAAGAATACAAGGTTTCCTTTTCCAAAACAAATGCAAGAGATTTAATCTAATTTAATACATTAATCTGCTACAAATCTTGGGCTAGATGCAAAGCTTTATTTACTGTCCTGAGGTAGGAAAGAGAATCAAGAATCCCAGAACACAAAGCCTGATTATTTTAAGGAAATGCCATGGAAGAACTAATCCCAGAATTTACTGCTTCCCTGAGAGTGAAACAACCTAAAGGACGATTCCATTATGACAGAATGGTCTGGGTTGGAAGGACCTTCAAGACCATCCAGTTCCAACCCCCTGCCATGGGAAGGGACACCTTCCACTAGACCAAGTTGCTCCAAGCCCCATCCAACCTGGCCTTGACACTTCCAGGGATGGGGAGTCCACAACCTCTCTGGGCAACCATATCTGATGTTTGACTTGGAAAACACCACACAAGGAAAACAGCAGTAATTCACGAAGATACAAACTTTAAGATGATGGTATGTCATCTTTCCCTGAATCCCTCTCTAGCCTGGTTTTTTAACCTGGAATTCCAGCTGTGCAGAGAGTTTTGGTCAAAAACCCAACTCCCTTTTTTTTGCACACGTGGCATTCCAGTTGAACAACATAACGGATTGCCTTGGAGACCTAATACGTAGAACTCCTTAAGGACACTTGGCTGAATTCCTTTCTTACCTGCTCCCAGTAACTAATGCCCAATTTAAACAGCCTTTTCCAGGTGCCAGAAAGCCCCACAGGTTATGTAATGCCTGACCACCCTCCAGAAAGTGATGGATCAGGTATCACAACTTAACCATCCTCACATGCCTGAGAATTCATTAGATCACACTCTGCCCCAAGGACTGCACCATCCCCACCCTCATGTGCAAATGGATAAGGATATTATGGATGCCTTTGGTAATTTCATCGGTATTTTTAATGTGAATTTTGAGACAGACCTTTTTTTAAGTGGAAAGTCGCATCCCACAGCTTTTATTCTTTACCTGGCTTGGCATTTCTCCAAGTAATTTAGGATCTCTAACAGAAAAATCACTGTAAATTACCGGGAAATAAAACTGGACAACAGCAGTTCACCAGAACAAATGCTGGTGACTTCGTTATCGCTTCCAGCACTGACCACACGTATTGCAGGGAAAAAGTTGACCAGGTTAAAGACTTTTCCATTTCTATCTATGATCTCTCAGGGAATGTGCTAAGGAAACGGTCGCCCTACTGAATCATTTCAAGAATTTTACAGCCAAGATGATTTATTACCATAAAACAGGTCTTGGAAACAAGGACATTTGAGGAGACTCAATAGCTATTAAATCAGTGTGGAAAACATGATGCTGAAGGAATTGCAGATGCCTGACACATGTTCTACTACCCTGTTTTTTTTTAACACTGAGTGTCTATAAAAACCAAGTCTGCAGAATTACTTAAAACTTTTCAGACAAAGAAACACAGGTATAAATTAAAATGGCGTTCATATATAAGTAATAAAGAAATAACTAAAACACCCCACAAAGGCTGTTTGACAAACTGGAGTCACCAATAATTTCAAAACCTATGCGTTAAAAATATACTTATCGCTTAGTAAACAAGCTGAGACATTTTGCAGAGTTATAGATGTTTTAGAGTTGAGTCAACAATACATAGAAAACCTCACACCACCTTTTAATGAGTCCACTTGTTAGCTGGTGTGAAACCAAATTCAGAATCATCTTGGGTTTTGTTATTACAATTGCAATGTAGATGTTGTTGTCGCACAGAACACGCTCTGTTCAAGACAGTTAAAAGCATCTCTCTTTAAAATTTGCCATTGTCTACTATAAATAAATCAGAGAGATGATCTATGAGGCTTGCTATGCAAAACACCACGGAAAAACATGCTGCTTTCTTGACCAAAATGGAAAAAATTCTTGTGCTAAACCAGAGAACTACAGAATGGTCTGGGTTGGAATGGACCTTAAAGAGCATCTATAGTTCCATGGGCAGGGACACCTTCCACTAGACCAGGTTTCTCAAAACCCCATCAAACCATGAAGACTCACAATACTCAAGTAAATGTTTTTAATGTATTCCAAAATACTCAGTCAAAATACAGCAGCCTGAAAGGAAGGTTTAAGGTTTTCTTACACCAGCTGATACAAAGTTTTGGAGCCCAAAATCCCTTTCCAGCCCTTCCTGCCTCCAAACCTCTCCTCTCCACATCCTTGGACCACAGCAGCTACAACAGCAGTAATTTTGCAAGCACACAACCCAACCCTGAACTCCTTTATGCCTTGACACAGTGATGACAAGAGGAGAAAAGTGATCCACCTCATGCAACTTCACCCCGAGCCACGTGGCTCCAAACCAGGGAACTCAGGCAGTTCTACAAACTGCACTCACAGTCTGGAAAATGAGGAAAACTAATTGCCTTTTCAATTAAATGGATGTCTTGCAGAACAACTGACCTACAGTCTTACAAAAGAGGAAGATGAGCATCCTTCTTTGACTTACGTTTTGGATTGTCCTGGTTCACTTGTACAACTCAGCCACCGTTCCTTTTTCTGCAACACAAGAAAGAAGACAAATTCTGTTAAAAAAAAGAAAAAGTATTTACTTGAACTGAAGTTTCTCATTACATTGTTAATTAGTGCTTGAAGCTTACTGTTTGCTTTCAGTCAACGCTGGAAAATATTTCCCTCCTTCCTTTTCTGTTTCTCTGATTTTGATTGCCAGAGTATTTCTGCTACACGGCACAGCTCTATCAAGATGAACCGTGGAGACTGCCTGGTGATTAGAGCATAACACTGAAGAACTAGAAATAAATTCCAAAGCCTACTGCAGAGTTGACCAAAGAAAATTCTCGTAGCCACAGAGAAAATGAGTAAACATATAAAAAGAAAATATCTAATTGCTCAAAGATATCTTTGTAGTCTTGCTAGATCTGTGACTGCTTCTTGTTGGCCTTCAGCACCTAATTCAGAAAGGTGATGACTTGCCCTTGGTTTGGGGTCGTATCTGGTTGCCCAAAGTTTCAGGCACCGTAAAGCACTTCAGTGGGAGCTGAATATTGAAGGGGTTGGCCATTATGTCCTGCTTTGTACTTTGGATTACCTGTAGAAATAGAGTAGGTATATCCATACCTTACTGGGAATTGAAACAAAAAAAAATAAAGGCAAGCAACCAAAAAAACCACACACAAAAATCTCCTAAGTAGAGTTATGAGGGTATTGTCCTGAAAAAGAATGCTCTGATGCTACATTCTCTATTTAACCACATAATTAGTAAACTTCCAGCAGAAGCAGCAAAAAAATTCCTCATTCCCTTACTAGGCCAAGTAGCGACCTGGAAGAAGTACTTAAACCTCCATGAAGCACTGGTATGCTCCAGATAATGGAAAAACTAAGTAACTGGGGACGTACTGGAAAATGAAGCATAGAGACATCTCATCACTCAAGGTTAGGGCTGTTCTTCTTCTGCTGAAAATGGTAATTTTCAAGAAAAAAAAAAAGAGAGACTATTAAAAAAAAAAGAGAGAGAGATGGAAAGAGGAGGACACCGAGCAGAAAGAATTCTGGCTCTGCTTTGCAGCCAGGAAGGAATAACAAAGCAACAAGTAAATGCCAACATGGATTTGTCAAACTGCTTCACTCCCCTTCCCAAGAAGTTAGAAAGCCCTGGGATATGGAGATGGTGCAGTAATCAGTCACCTGAGTGTGGTAGTTTTAATGCCACGTCATACTGCTTTCCCCCAAATCAATAAAGGATCATAGAACTGGACGAAAAAACAAATCCAAAGAATAAAACTTAATTGTTCACTAAGTGATCACACAGATCTTGGCACGTGGCATCCAACCTCCAGCATCAGCAGAACCCCGATGCCTTCAGAAGGAAGACAATTATCTCATTAATTCATCAGATAACTACGCATGAGAAGTGTTTTCTTAATCTTGAGTCCTAAAATCTCAATATGAAATAAATACATGTGTCATTAGGGGGTATGAAATCATCGAACTCCTTTATAAGGGGCACCATTAAGCTATTTAATTTAGCACAACAATAGTGTTTTACAAAGTGTGTTTTTCACTAATGACCTGGCCACTATTTTTGTTATTTTTTTGCCTGTAAAATGCACAGCCAATATTTGTGGTTTTAAAAAAAAAAAAAAAAAAAGACGTTTCTTTCTCAAAATGTTGTGCAGGAAAAAAACAATCCAGAAAAAAATTAAGCTCAGAGTACAATCAAATATACAAGGGAAAACCACACAAGTACAGATTTCATCATCCTCCTCCAGATTTTAAATAGATCAACATATTTTGGAGATGGGTGTGATTTTATGCGAGCTGTGCCCCTTTAAAATTGGCAACTACATTTAATTCAGTGCCTTCTTATTCCAAATTCCAAACTCCAGTTGAAAATAGATCTCACAATGGAGTCCTACAGCTGAATATACTCTAGGAGAAAATTAATACTCTAATTTATTCCAAATTCATTTGCATGACAGTATATCATTAGTATATACAAAAAAATATGTATTATATCAACAGAGAAAAAATTCTGTGCAAACAGTGAAAGAAACTCGCATCCCACTAGCGAAATGAGCTTGAAACTTAAAGCACAAAGCTGTTCTATTTCTCTGAAAAACAAACACACCAAAAAAATTACCAAACAGAGCTGTTCAAGGTCCAGACCTTGAGTTTTTAAAATAACGTGTGATCTTAACAAACAACAAAGCAAATACGATTTCTTGCATACCAGGTATCTCCTAAATAGCTGAAAAGAGCCACGCAGACAAGCCAGGACAGACTAAAAATAACTGATGTAACAACTCGGGTACAGAGAGAGGTTTTCCTACCTCACTGATTAGTAACAAGTAGAAGAGGAAAGGAAACACACACTCACTTTATAACTCCATCAACCTTGTTGTCCTGGAAACAATTCTCCTACAAAAGAAGTACTTAACTACTAAAGCATCTTCTGCTACTACTTTTTGGTTTTTTTTTTCTTCCACCCCCTTCCCTCTCTGCAGTGCCCTTAATGTTTGATAAACAGCCAGTACCAAACCTATCTCGTAAAATGGCACAGAAATTGGATCTCTCGCTCCCAGAAGAAAATATATAATTCCATTTGAGTATGCAGCACTTAGTTCTGCACAAAGCCCAAGGAACAGACTGTAATTTTGTTGTTGCTGTTGTTGTTAAAATGACTTATTAACTGAACCTTTAATTTTAGAATACGTCATGCTGGTAAAAGGTACCCTCAGCATGTTTTTCCTGGGAGCAGAGCGAGAAATCTCAGACCGCAGAGCAGGCTCAGCCCTCCCTCGTAGGTGCTGAACAGCCCCAGCATGTACAGCCTGGAGCTCTGTACATAAAAACATTTGCTGCAAGGTTTCCTCTCTCCACCTGACCTACCACGAGCTTTGTCCTTGCACTGACCTCACCCAGAAAACTTAAATTAAGGACCAAGCTCTACCCTCAATATATATTCCCAAATACTCCATCAGCGAAATGTTTAATGCTTCCCCAAACATTTTCTGTTCAGCCTGAGTTTCCTGCTTGCCTGATTGTACTTGGAGTTGAACAGGTTAATGCCAACCCTGCCTGCAGGAAAGTTTATCCACGTGTAGCAGGACACAGACACTGAATGTGCCATGAAAACCAACACACATGGTATGGCTGGATCCCCTTTTTCAGGTCCAGGAAGGACTCCATACAGACGTTCCCAGGATAACAAACAGGACAGATACTCTTGCTGAAGGATGAACAAGGCAAGAGGACAACAGGACAACAGGAAATGGCCTCAAGTAGTGCCAAGGAAGGTTTAGACTGGATATCAGGTAAAACTTCTTCATGGAAAGAGTGGTCAAGCATCAACAGGCTGCCCAGGGAAGTGGTGGAGTCACCATTCCTGGAAGTGTCCAAAAAACACGTGGATATGGCACTTGAGGACATGGTTTGGGGGCGAACGTGGTGGTGCTTTCAAGCTGATGGTTGGACTTGGTGATCTTAGAAATCTTTTCCAACTCAAACCATCCTATGATTCCACACAAACCAGAAAACCTACTGGGTAAACTCAGCCTTATTCACATACCTGGGGTCAGAGTCCTCTCTTGCCACTGAATACCTCTGTGGGAGTATTTTGTGTCACAGACCACAAAAAAAAAATCCCTATTTCTGGTTTTATGGTTACTGTCTGTGTTTGGAAGGGAACAGAACTTCTTGGTAATGTGCACCACATTGCTGACCACAAAGAAATTAAAAAAAAAACCCTCCTCTTAAGAGCAGAATTTTTATTGTCTCATATTCCCCCAGAAAAGCCCTGGGATCAGAAGTCTTAGCAACTCCTGACTCGAAAGAAAAGAGCTCTAAGTAGGTTTCAGACCACAACTTTACACTCAGTAACTCTCCATACACTGCTCTTTTTCCTACACAGCCCATTTGGATCAGATACAGCGATTTGGCCTTACCTAAACTGTCCAAGCCACAGCAACAAATAAACTTATATAAATGCTTTTAAATTCTTGCTTTTTGAAGTATCGATGTCTGAAGAAATTTTGCCTCTGACCCTCTCAGTCAGCCTGCCTAAACATCCTGCTTTCCAGTAAAATGCCAGAGTCTGCACTGGTCTCAGATGGGAAAAATCACAATACACTGCTTTCAAATGAGACCTGTTAATTACCAAAATTATTCCCACAGCGAGTCCAAAGGGATTTTGGTTCCTTTAGACAATTACGCCCAGCAGTTTATTCAGTGTGGTATCTCTTATTTATTATCATCACTCTGCTAAAGAGGAGACCTGCATTTTCTCTTGACTCCCTCCAACTTCCAATGTATTTACAAGGTCTTTTCATGTCCCCTACTAATGTTGGTTATCCATGTCTTTTTACTTCAGATTTACATAATCCCTATCTAATTGTTTCCCAGAGAAGCTGTGGATGCCCCATCCTTGGAAGTGTTCAAGGCAAGGTTGGAAAGGGCTTGGAGCAACCTGGTCTAGTGGAAGGTGTCCCTGCCCATGAATAAGAATAAAATACGATAATTTTTAAGCTCCCTTCCAACCCAAATCATCCTATGATTCTAATATGCTTTTACATTAGTTTTAAATTGTATCCTTGTTTCTACTTTTCAAATTACTTAAATTTAATATACCAACATGATGCACACCTTTGTTTTCCCTTTTCTCTTGTGCTTTTACTCTAGACATTGTTAACCCTCAGGTCTCTATGTAGCCTCTGTACTCCTTTAAGTATCTTCTGGAGAGATCAGAGAATCATAAAATAGTTTGGGTTGAAAGGGACCTTACATATCAACCAGTTCCAACCCCCTGCCACGGGCAGGGACACCTTCCACTAGACCAGGACATCTGCTTAGCTGGTAAAATTAGCTGAAATCTCAATTAATTAAGATCTGAAGTAGCTACCAATAAACTACTATCACTAAGAGATCTGAAATCTCAACCTCACAGTCTTGAGCTGCCTCTGCAAAACGCCAGGGATCAGGATTTATAATTTCTCATCCCCTCCACTACGGATCCAGTTCCCTCAGCAGCATTTACTGCACAG